TGAAATCAAAAGAGTTTATAAACTGAATTAAGCGAACGACTTTGCTGAAAGAATCCAAATAAATCTTAATGCTCGAAGGATAAACATATGTGAATATGTATATGTTTTATAATCGGCTATATAAATTATATATACATTGATTAAGAATTGCCAGATGGGAATTATAAATATAAAATAATGGAATCAGAATATTTGATATAAAAATATAATTTATCCTAATAAATTTAATTAATGGATCCTTTTTATCTTTTTTTTTTTTTTAAATATATAATCGATTATATCAATTATATTTAATTTGTATAGTACAAATTTTAGATATTGAAAAATTTATAAAATTAATTAAAATTTAAATTAAAAATTTATTTATTATGTATTTCCTCACATAATATAATTCCATAATTCCATGTATATTTTATTAAATCTTTATAGCTAGAAAACCTTTTAAATAATTTTAAAATCCCTAATAATTATATTCTATATTTTATATTAAATAATAATTTTCTTAATTAAGAAAATTCTCTCTTTAATATTTGCATCCCAAATTCTAATCCAGTTCACTTTCCCTTTGTCAGCGCCAACTATTTTCATTGGAGTAACCCGAAGCGGCGACAGTCTTTGGCATGCAATCATGTTTGCCAATTATGCAAATGCTGCCCACTGTGCGGCACTGTGGGGCATAACTTCGTAAATACTCCAAACACTTGGCTTCGTGTTTACCACAATTTACTGCGACTCGAGTTAACACAAACAGCAAAACTTCAGAAAATAAATGCACATTTTTTGCCACATTTCCGGAGAACCAGAACTCTCGCACTGCCACACGCCCCCAGCCCTCCCGCGGTTGCCGCAGCGCAACCAGTTTACCATCCTGGCCGACGAAGAAGACGACGGCGACGAGGACGAGGACGAGGACGACGACGTCGTTGTCCTGACAGCCCCGGCCAAGTTGGGCCACAATAAAGTCGAAGAAACGGGTCGGAGAGGTCGCAGCTTGCCATAAGCCAAATATGTCTGTGTCTGGGTAACTGTCTGTGTATATGTATATATATATAAATATATATGTGTGTGTGTGTGGGTGTGCGACGAAAGTGTGGCAATAAAAAGGATAATGTAACTGTTATTCTACGCAAAACGGAAACGGCTGTGTGGCCAGAGGGTCGAGCTACCCCCTGACAGTCGCTTGGCAAGTGTTTGAAATATTTTTGTGGCAAAGGTGGCAACTAACGGAGGGGGCGCGCCGGGCTGTGGATGTGGGCGCAAAAGTGAAAAGCACAACCGGAGTCGTAGCCGCTGTGAGTGACTGAACAAGTGCCAACGAGGAAACGACTGTCAGTGGCTGCAGGCGGCGCTGGGTAATGGGTGATGGTAGATGGTGGGTGGGGGGAGTGCTGGCAGGGAGTGGGCGTCGTTGGTCGGGGTCGATTCGGGTTGATAGGGCCGAGAGCGAACGGCCCCTGTCGAGAGTGCAAAAGAGCGAAGCCGGAAAATTGTGTGGAAATTTGAGCTTCTTTTGAAATTGAGGCCGGAAATGGTAGCCCGAGCGCCTCCCCTCCCCCCACGCCCACTCCACACACAAGACCTCAGCATGTGAGGTGTGAGAGCGAAAGAGAGAGAATGTGTGTGTGTGTGTGTGAGCTGAGAGTCAAGCCGACGCGCAGAGAGCGTGCCAATATGTGCAAGAGCGAGACTGAAGTGGGTGTGCGAGCGAGATGGCAGACAGCAGCGCCGCTTGTTGTGTTAAACAAAATGTTTGCGGGTGCAATAAGCGTAAATTCAGTGGTTTTATGTTTACTTATTCAGCACGAAACCACCCAAACCCCACTCCTACACACAGACACACACACTCTCACACACAGACATACTAACTGACTGCCTCGACCGATTGGCACGGGGACAATTATTTGATCCACACCATCAACGCAAGGTAGATGGGGTGGGCTGGGGCGGGGAAGCCCCCCAATGGTCGAGACGTGTGTGGTGCGGGCTGGTAATATACTTTTGCAAATCGATGCCAACTCCTTAAACGTTGGGTGGCACGAGCTGGGTGGGCTCTGGGTGGCTCGTGCTGGGGCACGGACGGAAGCGTGTGGCATGTTGAATGCTCTTGAGTGTTTTCGTATGGTTGACAGGATAACACGAAGTAATTCAATTCGAAATACTTTATGCTGTTGCTTTTATTATTTGTGCTTGTGGGACTCTCGTCTGTATGTTTCATTTCGTTTCGTTTCATTTCGTCTCGTTTCTTTTCCTTACTTTTGCTCGACTCGTTTCGGTTGCTTTCGCTTCTTGTTGTCGGAAGTGGCGTTTGTGGTGTGGGTGCCGGAGCTAGGGGGGGTATTGTTGCTTCATAAAAAATGGTGTGCAAAGTTACACACAGTTTCCTTTTCGGTGTGCGAGTGTGTGAGTGTGCGTGTGTGTGTGTGCGTCTGTCTGTGCGGTTTCTCTGTTTATTTATTTTTATGATGTTTCCTTTTTGGCATTTTATTGAAGAAGTTTACCGACGCCATTGCTGCTGTTGCATAAATAAGTGAGTGGCATGGACATGAGAGACTACTCTACCCCACCCACTCAGCCTTTCGTTTAACCACCCAATACACACACACACACACACACACACTGTAAACTGTTCGACCAACATCTTTTGCAATTCATAAAAAAAAAATCAATATTTATTGCAGACGTTGTCGAATGCCCCCACCGCACCACCTCAGCCCAACCACTCGCCGTGCACCGCCCAGTTGCTCCACCAATTTGCGGTCTTCGCTTGTTATTGAGCATTTAATCAGTTGATTTCTTATTCAGTTTTCTGCTCAGTTCATTCCCAGCATTTTCCTTTCTGCTCGATTTTTTATTTCCCATTCATGAAAAAAGGGAGCGTTAGTTTTGCGAATTGATTGCGCAGCAAACTAGGGAAATGCAATTAGGAAAACTTCTTTTTTCTGCCCGAGCATTGGATTTATGCGAACTTGCAAATATTATGAATAGAAATGGCTGTGCCAAGGCACTAATTAAAATATATCGTATTCATGCTCAAGTTGGGCAAATTAAGAAATCAGCTACGAATTTAGTTAATCTATGTTATACTCAATATAGATAAATAGATGAATTGTTATGGTAGAAATATACGATTTAGGGTTAATTAGCCATGGCTTTCTATTTGAGCTATAACTTCCACTTAGATAAATGTATTTGACAAATTGTTAATATAAACTTTTTAGCAAGTTATTATATTCTAGAAGGAAGTGAATTAATAGATATATTATATATATATTTATCGATATATGTGGTACATAAGAGAGCGTATAATATATGTTTTTTTCAGTTAACTTTTAAAATAACGATGAAACTAATTAATTAGAACGAGCTCATGTTAAATTTCATAAATAAGTTTGATTATCGTTTCATGAGTCCTGAACCATATTTATAATTCAGTTAAATAGTTCACTAACTTTATTCAGTTTATGCAGTTCATGAATTATATATATTAGTAAATCGCTCATAAGCAATTTATTTCATTCTGTTAGCTATAAGGATATTAAACAGCCTTATAGAAGGCTTCATTTATGATGATTAGATCCCTGAAAATTATCATTGAAGAATATCAGATCTATTGTAGTAGTTATGTTGTAGTGTTATGTAAACGTTATGTATTTAGGCTAAGACGAAACCTTTTCGAATTCAATAAAGCATTCCTAATTTACCACTTGACTTGATCAGTCATTTTTATTATTTCTTTCTACGCTATGATTTATGAATAATTGGGCGAGGGCTACGTGTCTATTATGACTCAAAAATTATTTCACATAAAATTGATTTAATTAAGTAATTAACTCAAATTCTAAATTCCTCCAAACTTTCTCTAAATGCACAATTAATACTTTAAGCATTTGAAGCTGAAAGCGCAGACTAATAAATTCTTGACTAAGTTAATTCTGCAAAAGCATTTGTAGTTCATTTTTGTGTGCGAGTTTAAAGTGAAGATAATATTTATTTTATGCTCATAATGTCATATAATACATGAAAAATAACAAAAGCAGAAAGAGAATAAAAGAAGATAAGTCAACCTGAACATATAGAACACAACTGCATTAAAATATTCGGGTATTTAGCATAAATATAAATTATAATATATAATAAATAACAACAATGAAAATAACACAAAAATAAATGATGTATGGGGCATAAATCAATATAATAAATTAAAGTTTCATATCTTTAAAAGATCGAGAGTTCTGTCAAAAAGTAGGGGTACATAATACATATCGAAACAATATATTTAACAATCATTTAATAAACTAATTTTTGATATGGTATCGAAGATAAACAAGATCTAAGCTCCATAGTATTTTTTAAATATAGTTCTAGAACACATTGTTGTAAAATATTCAATTAAGTATTCCTTGATACTTATAGTATCTTAGATAAAAAAGTTTTTAGTATTTTTATTAAATATTATTATTATTAAATATCTTTAAATATGTATTAAATATTTTTCTAAGATATAAATAATTTACACATCATGAAATATTAAATAAAGTTCAATCAACTAATTTTATTGTCATCCACTCATCATTTATCATTATAGATAATTAACTTGAGACTATTCCAGCTCTGTCAAATCTCACTCATAAATTCAATGCACAAACCCATGCAACATCTGGTTTTACACTCCCCGCCATGATTCCCAACAAATGCATTTGAACTTTAAACTTGCAAGCGATGCGCACATGGGGGAGCTTGGTAAATTGGGGACCCAGTCTGTTGACAAAGCTAAACGCTTAACGCTAAGACTATTATGGCATGGGCGTAGAGCTCATCAATAGGTAGGGAGCAGGGGCTGGGCGCACGGTTAAGTGAAACCAATTGAAGTTTATTGACGCGAATTGGGTTTCACTTGAACCGGGCACCTCGAGACGCTTAAAATGCGTTTCACATTACAAAATGCAGGCAGAGAAATACAGAGAAATAGACAGAGAGAGAGAGAGAGAGAGAACACTTACCTTCTTTAGACTTTTCGTATTGCTTTGGCGACGTTGTCTTCTTGCTTGGAATGGGCCTCAGAGCGTTACTCATAAGCTGTGGGGATTACAAATGCATTGACATAAGGCTTTCCATTGCTGACGTTGGTTATTTATTTGTTGTACTCACGGCGCGATCAGAGCGTTCGCCGCAGGGCAGACGAGCCACTGAGACATCCGGACTGTCCTCCGGTGGCGGCGGCTGGGGCACCCAGTTGTAGGCCCGCCTAGAGATGGGCACCCCGAAGCGATCATGCTGCGACGCCTGTTGCCTGTGGAGGTGGAAAGTGGAAGGAATTAATCATATATGCTCAATGGGAGATCAAGCATTATCTCTTATCGCTTACCTTAAGCTCTCATAGCAGTCCAGGCATACCACGGCATACTCTCCATTCTCCAGCAAAAGTCCATCGTCGCTCTTCTGATGCTTGACGAAGGGAAACTCGTTGACAGGCAGCGCTCTCACTCGCTTTCTATAAGTCGTAATGCCGCACAAATGGCAATTGTAATCGTGCCAATTGTACTTTCTATCCGCTGGATTTACGCTGGGACTTTGAGCTTCATATCTGTGGAACAATAATTGGTTAATAATATTTATAGTAGTTCAAATGAAACTATTGCGAACTCACTTGCGCCACTGATTCAGCATGGAATGATAGCAAAATGTGCAGACTAGAGCTGAATTGTTTCTCAGCTGCTCAGCATTTGGCAAAGAATTGTGCTTCAGCAACAATGGAAAGTAAGGTCTTGAGCCCTGCAAGCAAACGAAATTGATTAGTCAGTTATTAACAAAGTTTATAATGTTGAATTAAAATATTATGAATGTTATCTTAATATTTACTTGACAGAGAGAGAGACAGATAAGGAGAGAAAATGAACAGAGAATACTTTTTATGACAAATATAACAAAAAAATTGCTCATGCTTATAGCCGAATTGATTCAAATACTAATTTCTAGATATATTTTATTATAAGTATGCTTAATCTTTGAGTCATATAGGAAAATGTAGTAAACATAGTTGGTATTTTTGTTGAACACATAAAACTAAGTACAACAATATTAAATACATATATTAATATAACAATATATTAAATCCTGATTTCATAATGTTATATATTATATTTACATTACTTAACTTTATATTAATAAAAGAATAAAAAGTTCTGATTTCCTACTATGTTACAAAATGTATTATATTAATATTTATATAAATATTATATTAATAATGTATTATATAAATATTATCTTGATATTTATACTTGATATTATACTTCACGCTCTACATGTATACTTCACTATATACAAATAATACCTTTACATATATCTCAAAATATAATTAGTTTGATTCAAATTTTTAGCACAAATTTATGTTATATACTTAGAGTATTAATGTTTAGATAATTTTAAACTAAGAAAATGTTTTAGAATTAAGCTTAGAAGGATAGGATAATCATTTTAAGACATAACGCTATAACATAAATAGGTGTACTCTTGCTTATTTACTAAGTACTATAACTACTATACATACTATTATCATGTGCTCATATTCAATTTACTAATAAATTCAAAAAACAATTATTCAAATAATTAACCTTTAGCCTCATATCTAAATGTAAAAGGTGTTATATAGCCATCATTTGTTTTATAATTACAGCTCTGATTGAAATTTGCACTGTAAACAGTCGTAATTCACATTATTCCAGCTTCTCTATAATACACTTTCACAGTTAGTATAATGACTTGTCTAATTCCTAATAATCAATTTATAATATATGCAAAATATAATTCTATCTGCTCCAATATTTAAATCTTTCATGCTTTGTATAATTGCAAATCAATAAATTTGCGTACCGGCCTGGCCGAAAGATTACACGCTGTTCTAATTATATACTTATATCTAAGCATACTTTATATGAGTCAAGCCTCAGCGCTATCTAGCAAACTGATATATTTATCTATCTAATTATTTGTTTATGTATGGATTATTGCTATCAATTGCAATTTCGCAATCTTATCTTTACAACTGGAACAACATTTGTAAACGTGTTCCATTCATGGGGATTAGATGTAAGCTAGCCTACTTACAGTACTTGATACTAACGGATCTTAGCAATAAAAGAACAGTTGACAACAGTTGTAATAGTGAATTATAAATATTTGCAAGCATACCTAATAAGTTAATATATTATGAATTTTGCAATAGAAATAAATGTCGACCTTGAGCTGTGTACTATAAATAAATTATAATATATACTTATTTTTATCAGAAGCAACAGATTATTAGGGTCTGTTTCTATTCAAGTTCCGATTGGTATTTAAAGGTATCACATTAACATTTAATTTTTAACAGCTCTTTAAAAAAAATAATATATCAAAAATCTTATAACCAACAGAAAATTTCAATCGCTTACTTCATATTTCGTATAATAATCTTTGGGTTTGATAAAAGACCATGAACATATTGAATTATATTTTTGTCTGCGTATTCCAGTTTGATAATTGATTATTAGGGTATGGTCTTTTGTTAGTGTTCTTAGAAATTTAAATGAATTTCGTTATCAGTCTGCTTTTCTTGATTGTAAAAATTACGAGCTTTGACTAATTGAAATCAAAATCAATAATAAATGTACTTGAGCATTATCTAAGATAACGAAATTCGTTAAGGTTCAAGTTTCCAGAGATTATATGGCTTTGAAAATAATTGCTCAACTTGACTGAAGTTCAGTTATTAAATATATAGAATTCTTAGAATAAATATATGCGATTTTCTCATTGACTTATTTATAATTTAAATAAATTTCTTTTCTTTCTTAAAAATAAATTTGTATAGATGGTACATTTTCAAGGCCTATTAGCATAGCCAACTTAAGTAATCTCCCAGAACCCACTTATTATAGTAGTACAATTAAACCTATAATAAAACTAAGTAGCATTAGAATAGATAACGGGCTCCGAGCAGAGTTCAATAGAAAAGCTTATAATTTTTGCGACAAACTTATCTCTGACACTTCGAATAATTTACAGAATGCGTGCTTAGCTTAAACTGACCTAATTTACTTAAACTAATGACGCCTTTTAATATTATTCACTCCCTCTCTCTCTCTCTCTCTCTCTCTTTTGAGATATATCCTAAGACAGTTTTACCTCTTTGCTGCCGTATAGAACTCTGGCTAGTGTTAGATCCGAGTGCAGGCCACAGAGGAAACAGTAGATTGAGGTGCTGGCTGGCGTTGACGAGGAGACCGAGGGTGTTGAGGGCGGCGTGCAGGTGCTCATGGCGCCGTGGCGAGATCCATTCGGCGAACTGGAGCTCAGCATGGGCGAGGGTATTTTGTATCTGCAAGGCAAGAGCATTACATTAGTTTCCACTCTAATATAGATCTATAAAAAATGCATGCAACGAAACCTTCTGTGCTCCAATGGCACACGCTCTGCATCCATTGATTCCCACTGGCTGGTTAAGTAGTTGATGCAATCCTTGCAGGCTAGCACACGATTGTTGTTCAGTTCGTTGTTATTGTTGTTGTTGTTATTATTGTTGTTGTTGTTGTTGTTGCTAAGACCATTGCTACTGCTGCTGACATTGCCCTTGAGACAGGGAAAGTGCATGGCATGCGAGTTCATGTGCTCGGCGCTAGTATAAAGCCAATCCATTTTATTGGACGGCCAGAGAACTTTGCAAATGGAGCAGCTGCGGATGCATGGAAATACACATCTATTAGTAAGGAGTTGGAATAACTAAGGTACAACATCTTACGGATACTGGGCGTGGCCATTCTCGATATGTCCTTGGGTTGAGCTGGGCGAACTGGGCCTGGAGTCGTTGCGCCGGATCTGCTTGAAGTCGCGCGCCGTATTCGAGTTCGAGTTGTTCGAGCAGGTCTCGTACGGCTGTAATAGAGAGTTTGATATATTTAATAAAACTAAAAATCAAAAAAACAAAAAACGTAGTTGTAGACATAAACAGAGCGACGACGCACATGCGAATCGCGTCGTGCGCAACTTATCTAATCAAATGTTATTTAATATTTCATACAATTGATATTCTCTTCAAGAGCCACCACTCGAATCGAGTTCCCTTCCCAACCGCTTCGAGCCGCTTCAAATCCTCCTTATCGCCTCTACACCACATTTCGCTGTATGAGTGTCGAGCACACACTTCTAATCAGTAAGCATTACGCCTACCTTGCTCTACGCTCGCTGTACCTCTTCCGATAGATGGCTTTAGCTTTTCGTTTTTCGTTATTTTTTTCTACTTTTTGTTTCTCTTATCAGTACAGCTGGAATAATATTGCTCTAACTGCCCAGAACCGGTTTTACCCCAAAAAATGAACTCAATTACAATTTGTGGATGATGAATTGTGGCTGATTTCAAGTTTGAGTCACTTTGCGGCGACATAAATCACTATTTGATTGAGTATCAACTAATGATCTCTGAGCTGATAAACTCCCTTTGAATTGTAAATTCAATTTAACTCTAATAAATTCATTAAGAACTTATGGCTAGACTAACTTCTATACTATTGTATATGTATCAGAAGTTCGCATCGTTTTAGAATCCAGTTTCGATCTAGAACAATCCGCTTCTCAGTTCGCCACTCTATGTTGATTTCACTTTCAAATTGATATCAGTTAGAAGTAAAGGTTATCTAGGGGGTATTCCAGAGTCGTGTATACCCTGCTATCTATGTCAAACTTTCTTTTTGTTTTACCCATAATAATAATCATTTTTGCAGATGATTTTTTTACAGCTCTATTGCTACTGCATACGAACTCTTTCCTCCATTTCAAGAGCTCTCTTCTTCGAACTGCTCGTAGGCGCCGCAACATTTTCAAGAGCCCGCCCACCCTCACAATGACTCGGCAATCGAATGTGTGCCAAACTCTCTTCTGGTTTTCGAAATACTCGTCCAATCAAGTGCCATTAAAGCGTAGCTTCCAAATGTTTTCAAAGTGCTAAACAGTTTTTCTTCTGAATTGCTCGAATCGCTGAACTAAAAGTTCTAGTAAAATATATTTATAATATGTATATATTTCTTTATAAACGTTTCCTCGGATTTACTGAGATCTACTGATTTTTGTGCCACGAATAATGTATTCTCTGATCATTTTCACTATCAACATCGATCTATGTATTACATATAGTACGAGATAAGAGAACAAATCTCTTTTAATCCCTCTGTAGGTACTTCAAATACTATATTGTTTATCAGAGGCAGGCTCTATGTCTGGCATGACATCATTTTACTAGCCTCACAATAAACGAAATTACAATAAATGTATATACACTCTGCTGGGTTGCACAAGGTAAACCTAATCATGGCCTCTATGACGTCGAGCGCGTACTATAAAAATGATATAGATATGGATAAATAGGTGTGCGCCGTTGTTTATATTTGATTTAGCATAATGCTATGAATGACATGGCACGCAGCTATTTGCGCAATATATTATCACACTTTAATTATCTGTTATCTGCTAAGAAGAAAATTGAATGCAAGAGCCAGCCCATATACCATATATAGTATATGTGGTATTGTGACAGCTATGACAGCTATGGAGACTCCGCCCACAGGTCTATTGATAACTCACTCGTTCGCTTGCATTTATCTATATTTAATTTGCTTCCTCTTCTGCTGAGCTCTGACCTTCGCTTATCAGGCTCCCGAGTTTAGAATACATTTATGCACCTGATAGACAAAGATAAACAAGTTTACTTTTTGGCTAACTGGGGCAAAGGTTTTTCTCCATTGCGCGCTCTGGCACCTGTTTAAAGATAATAATTTTTTATGTTTCTCGTTTTTTTTCGGCTCAGCTAAACAATTATTTGCACGCCCAAAGACAATTTCAGCGCTGCAGACACGCGAAGCAAACAAACGACAGATAAAGAGAGGAAGAGCTGAAATCACCAAAAACAAGCAGAAAAAAGTAAAGTAAAGCCCAAGTATTTATTTTGCAATTGTTTTAGAAGTCCAATAGACAAGATGTTTGCATATGTTGTCATATTTATGAACGTCGTTAAACTCAGCCAAGGCTGCCAACAGAATGAGTAGCTACAAGGCAATGCAGGTACTATGCATACTATTTATACCCATATATAAATTATAATATTTATCAGTAACAGAAATAGTTATATGAATGAATGTGGAAATTCCAGAACTTGCATATGCTTTGGGGTGTATTATAGTAAGGTAAGTATTGATAGTTTAGTGCTAACCCAATTAATTCCTTTTCAAAAGATAGTCGAACCTTCATTTTAATATAATATGAAAGCTTTATGCTTGTACTTCGGTTTCTAAAAGTTGATTTACCTTATACCTGAGATTCTATAATAAAATTTTTCTATATGATAAAGGAAACTCTACAAGTATTTTAAGAACGTTTGCATAAAGTTTCACCTCTGATTATCAAATGAATCACATTCAAGACAAGATACGAAAACCCATTTAGCTGATACAAATTGTATTTTGCTAGATATGGTCGTATTATTTATAAATATAAATATACTATCGTAGATAACTTGCACTTGAAATGCCAAACTCAAGATTGATTGAATAAAATATAAACTGCTGCACGACTGCTGCTCAATCGTGATAATCTATGAAATTGGCAATTTCGAGCCGAATCAACAATCAATTAGGAACTAACGAAAGCCACAAATAACTCGAGAGCAGCTGCAATAATTTACGGCTGTCTTTCAATTAACTTGGCTGTCACTAAATATTTTTGGAAACTTGAAACTAGAGTTTAATGTCTCTTTAAAAAAAAAAGTGGGAAAAACATAAAATAAAAGTAAGAATAATAAATAAACTACACAAAGCAAAAAATAGAAAGAAAAAAGAGGAGCTATAAATAAACGAGTTTAAACAAAACAATGTGTGGCATATCAGTGAAACCAGTTTGGGGCAGATGGAGATGGGGCTACGGAGCGCGACAGGCCAGTCCAAGTTTACCCACTTTTTGGGGCTTGTATTGGAGTCTCTTGCTTTTTGTTTATTTATACAATAATTCGTTTAATTTGTGCGTCTTGTTTAGCTTCGAGTGGGGACGGCTATTTGCCCCCAGCCGCGCCCAGATCTTGAACGGTAATTGAGGCGCCCATGGATCCGCAGGTTGCAGACCTGCGACCGCCCTTGCCCGCTCCGTTTCGTACCCGTCCCTGGCCATGCGGCTCTGCCGTGTGCATGCGATGGGGCAATCTAATCTTGACATTTGTTGACTCAAATTGGTTAACATGTTGACACTCGACTTGCCCCGCCTGCCCTCCCGCACCCCGCACCCCGCAGGCCCCATACCCCATACCCCACTCCACTCGCACTGATAAGCAGCAACTAATGAAGCTGCCTCCCCGCCATCCTTCTTATCAGCTCTCTCCTACTCGTCCATTCCACATAATTGATATCGCCGCTGCCGACCTTCAGCATGCAAATGGATTACTCAACATGTGTGCCCAAGCACCACTAGTCTGTCCATTCCCATTGTCCATCCGTCCGTCTGTCTGTCTGTATGTCTCTCTGTCCGTTCGTCTGGCAGGTCATCACCTTTGAGAAATGCTCTCTGGGTTCATTTGGTTATCAGACGCGAGGGCAGAGATCGACGAGGTGTTATCGCTTCCCAGACTTGCTCTCATTAGCGCGACACGGTCCGAGTTGCAAAGTTCCATTTCAGAGTGTATAATATGTACGCATATACCCTGTGCACCGAAACACAAAAGGGCGTATATCTACAGGCAGTCTGTTATGATAATAATGAAATTTCCTACGGTCAAATAAGATTATATTTAATAGAATATTTCAAAAACGGAATTTCCCATTTAATCGGACTTTCTTGTTTTTGTCTAGGGTATTTCAAAGTCGTTTTCATTGCTTTTTCCTGCGATGTGTAATCGCTTTTCCTACATATACGTATATATTTGAGTTCCTACTGTAATCGACAGCTAGTAAATTTCCACGTATAGACACAACAAGACGATTACACACACACACACACACGCACACACACACTGACTGAGATATATTGGAAATGAAATGAAAGAGAAGAAAAACGAATTGAAGACGCACAAATTGTTATTGACATGCAAAATGATTTGTCTTGCTTGGGAGAGAACCAACTGGAACTGGCAGCAATAGGAAACCCGGAAATGTAGCTCTTGGCCGGATTAAGCCGCAATGGAATGGCTCTGGCCTGGCTCACCTTGAAGCGCACATTGCTCGTTGAATCCGAATTGGCGAGCGACTTCTCCGAGGGCGAATTGCGACCCACAAACGCCGTCACATGATTGCCGGCGATGGCGCCGCTGGCGCTGTACATGGCCGAGCCGGACTCCAGGGACTGCGCTGCTCCGGACTCCGAGGTGGCAGCAGGTACCGGGGGGCCGCCCTCGGCCTGGCTGCTGTGCTTCTCGCAGCAGCCGGCGCAGATCTGCACCATGCCTGGAGAATGCAATTTCGTTAATTATCATTCACACTTGCATCGGAGGCGACATCACTCACCCTGCGGACTGATGGGACTAGCGTTTTTGAAGGGCTTCATTGTCTTGATGAACGGATAGTAGGGCTCGCGTTCCGTGTTGGGACAGCAGTAGACCAGGCGCAGCTGCGAGGAGGGCGTATCCGTGCCGCAGGTGTAGCACACGAAGGTCGTCCGCTCCGTCACTGGCGCCGGCGTCGAGCGCTTGCGCAGCATATACGACCGTTGCGACTCCGGCGTGTGAGCAGCCTGAAATGAATACGGGAAATGCATTAATACCTATTCAATTTGGATAATTAATAAACGAAATTGATGAATACTTATTAAATTTGGATAATAAATATATAAAATATAAATATATAAATGAGTTGAATCGATATAATCAAAGTAAGTCAGCTGTTTACAGGGTATCCATTAGTCTAAATCTGTCGAACGGGATACTGAAAACTTAAAATCTTAAACTTAAGTCGCATTTTACTAATATATTACATGTTAATAAAATACAATATATAAATAGTATATATTGACTTTAGTTATCTTATTTCGTCTTAATTATTTTTTTAATTTTCGCATATTTATAGGGTATACTACAAAAGGTTGAAGTTAAATTTCACGTCATACCAATTACAATGTACCAAAATGGGGTTCTTTAAATTCTTATATTAAAATTTTACAAAAATCGTTAATATTAAATATGAATCCCATCAGAAAATTAATAATTTTCTACACAATGCTGCAATTTACAGGGTATCTATTAACTATAATAACTATAATAACAAGACCAAAAATCAAACCATCTTGTTTCACCTTTAACAAATATACGTCAGATAATCTAAATATATAGCAGTTAATTACCATTTATTTATAGAGTACACAAATTATAGGGTATACAAAATATGAAATTGTTTACAGCATCATCTTACTACGCAGTTTACAAGGTATACATCAGTTGAAATCATTCGAACAAACAGAATTGAGTTATCTTAGCCCACATCTAGCAAATATACGTAAACATAATAAACAACAAAATCTTCACCCCCTACGCGTGACTTCGTAGTGCCCGTTTTGAGTATATTTATAGGGTATACAGTCTATAAATAAACAGAACAACAATCTGAACTCACGCCACTCGAAGTGTGAAGTGCAAATATGAGAGCGTGGCTATTTAAAATCATTTACCGCACTTGCGAATTCTAACGCACATCAGTCAAAATGGGTTCGTAATGTCTATGAGTCAGATTAGCTATCTGTTTGGTGGCTGTTGCTATAGTGAAACAAATTTATAACTGTTTATTTTTTGTGGAGCTCGCAGTGCAGTAAATCAATATTATTGAAGCTATTAACACTGAAAATAGAATTAAGCTGAGCTCTATGGGTATTCCCATTGCAAAGATCAAGTCGTAAACCATTTTATGACCTCAAAACAATATACTCAGCACATCAATTTAGTGTTGGTAAATGACTCTTTGAAAGCAAAACAATACAAGCGGAAATATCCAAGATCCGAACAGCCATGATATAAATTATTTCATTTAATTTCGTTTCATCTATAATGTCAGCATTGCTTGCATTTTTACCGAATTCTATGCTATAATAAATCAATCTTCAAGTGCTATAATAAAACATTTCGTAAACAGCAAAGGAAAACATTAAAAATTGTTTTGCTAATAACCTAAACAAGAATTACGAAATATAAATGAGTTTTAAAAAGATAAAATATAGCTACAAACTGATTGATTTATATATCGTTTAATTAAACTGAGATAAATGGAATGCAGGGCATTAAGTAAGACTAAATATACATATGTATATTGAGTTAAACGAAAATGAAAATCTTTTCCTTAAACAGAAATCTATTTGAAAACTAAATAATTTCTAGGTCTATATATGCAGGTCATTAAAAGCGTTCCATCTTCTAGCTGTATATATATGATTTTATAAACATCTGATTTTATATCGTATCATAGGGGATGCACGCCCATAAATCTTTGGAATATAGAAATAGTTTTAGTCGCTTAATCTTCTAGAAGAAGAAAACTACACAAAGTATATACAAATATATTTGTTTATATAGTCTAACAGTAGTAGTACAAGGTAGTAAAGTACTATATATTACAATTTAGGTAAGCTAAATAGGCAACAAGATTTTAATGAAGTTCAAAAGCTGCAAATGCGATCAACCAAACCAACTCAAACGAGTGACAATCATTTACAATTCTTATGACGAAACGCGAATCGATCATCAATCAGCTGAGTAGTCATCAAACTCTAGCCATAAAACCGATAATTTATGGGTTTTAGGCCTACAAATTATGCCCTTAACTCAATTTTATGGCGAGGCAAAGCGAACGCTGAAGATAATCCTTAGGCTCTTTCATCTAATTGAATGAATGTTGATCATATGAGCCATAAACATCATCAGATTGTTACACACACACACACACACACACCCGCTGTTACTTAAGCAGCTCATAAGCATCGTCAAATTAATTCGCATGGCCTGTCCATCAGCATATGACAAGAGCCATTTGATATATTACGTATACGCACAAGTAGCTCCCATAGAAACAGACGTATGTAGGTATCTACCTACATGCAAGTATGTCTATGTGTGCGTGTGTGTGTGTTTGTATTTATTTATATATGTTTACTCTGTTTATTTGTTCGCAAATCCTCCACTTTGCTCAAATTGTATCTGTGCCAAGCATATATATACATACATATCCATACATATATATGCACATAAATATAAAATGTACATATCTATCTATAGAGAGACAGTGAGACTGTCAGACAGAGCCAGAGTTTCGTATCTGGGCATCTGTCTGCCGTTTCCAGTCGTATCTGGTTAAGACAAACACGCAAACTCAACCGGCATTCATTTATTTTATTAGGCACTAAGCAATTTAATTGTTTGTTTACTTTTCTTATTTCCATTGTGTGTCAGATTTTTTGACATTGATATGCGCGCATTTTTATTACACAACTCGTCCCGGGCACAACTGACAGTCCATGACACACACACGCACACACACACACACACACATTGAATCTCCCTCTCTGCACACATCAATCTGGACAGCGTCAAGTCATCCATATTTATTGATCCGACGCCGCGCGGTCAAATGGCGTCGCCTGCGCCGTTGGCTTCTGTTGGCGGCACTCTTCACTCCTCTCTCTCTCGCTCCCGCTCCATGGCTCTCCCATCTTTGCCCTCTATCTGCCACTCACTCACTACTTTGGCTCTCTGCGTTCCCCTCCCCCTTGCCCTTGCTCTTCGCTTAAGCGAACACGTTCGTCATTTTTCGTGCGCTCTGTTTTTTTATGCTCGTTTTCCATGTTCATTCGTTTCATTTGCTGTCCCCCTTCCACTTGTACACAGCTGCCGCACATTTTTTTGCAGTTGTTGTTGCCTCGGTTTCCATGTTGCTGTTGTTCTTATTGTTGTTGTTGTTGATAAGCATTTTCAAAATGGGGGTCATGACCGTTTAATAACTTTATGTGAAGAGACTTTTTCTCTTCTCTTTTTTTCTGGTTATAACTTTTGTTTCGCCTTTTGTTTGATTGTTTGCTTGTTAATTACAGTGCCAACGTGAGAGCGACAGAGACAGAGACATAGAGAGAGAGAGATGGGCGTTTGTTCGTGAGTTCAAACTTCAAGAAAAAAAAAAAAAAGTATCTTTTTTTTTACGAATCTAAGCTGATTTGTATTTCTGTTTAGATATATATATATTTATCTATTTAAAATTTCTTCTTCTGTTAATAAGTAATTCTTGAATTTCCCATTTAAAAATAAAACCAATTACTGATATTAAATAAAACTCCCATCCATTAATAGATCGTTTATCTGTGAGTGCTTAATACATTTGCACAGTTTTATTATATCTCCACTATAATAAACAAATTCAGTTTTATCTCCACTCTTAATGCTTTTTTTTTTCGTTGTTTTGCAATTGCTCCATCTGAATTTGAATTATTTTTGCAATTCTCAATGCCAACAACAACATGTTCTATGCATTTAGTTATTTATTTATTTACTCGATTAATATGCATCGATGTCAGAGCACAATAAATTTACTTGCTGGCTATTTGGGTCAATACGAATACATTTTATTGCCTCTATTGGCATGGCTAATAGATCGTACAGTTCCATACAACATACATATACAACAGTAACATCGAATCGTTCATTTGTTAATAGATATTGGTAATTATGCCAACATTCCCCACCTATCTCATAGATTGTGTTATCTATTAACGCTAAATACACAATGTATTATTATTTATTCGATACGCTCAATATGATAATATTCTCAATCATTTATGTATATGTATGTAAATTGCGGCAGAGCTATAGGAAGTTCCCAATCAAGTTGCGCAATCACCAACGATTGCTTCCGTTCTCAGAGTTATCTACGATCTGGATTTTTCTCTAGCCACGATTAAATATTCATTGCATTTGAAATGAAGTTCTATGCATTGAGTATTCCTATGAAAATGCTTGTGTAATATTTTATAAAGGTTTTTCTTGGTGAGTACAGAAATGCGAAATGTTTAATGAGTTTACGAATATATATATAAAAAAAAATAAATAAATAAATAAAAACAAAAAAATTTAAAATAACTTAATTAATAATTATATTAAATTTGTATTAAAAAAATATAATAATAATAAAACTTATATATAGCTAATGAAACTACTGGAATTTATACTCGGGTTTTCCAAAAAAGTTTCGATTATCGCTCAACCAAGCCTTGTAGGACCAATTAAACTTTTTTACAGGGTATCTTTAATTTCAAATCACATCTCATAACAATATTTCTTTGAAAGAGTTTAACGATGTGAGTGCGGAGAATTGAACTCATTGTAATTTATTCTAGTAATAAATTCAATCAAAATTTGATTTTAAATATTTATGAATTCTATAGAATTTTAATGCATATAAAATATCATTATACACTCGCATCAATTACATTAAATGTATTCACAATTTTGAGCTTTATAACCCAACTAATTTCTGCTATTCAAGCTATTTATTAATTATAAATAAATAACTTTAGGTATATTAAAACTTGTTGCAATAGGCCTTATAGATTCATTCTCTATCTTTCTAGTAAATTCCTCCATCTGCTGCTCAATTACCTTTTCGTTCTGCTGTTCCTTTAGGATGAGATAGGTCTTAAGTTTCTTATAATCCCTCCAGCCATTCGTATCCTTTGGCTTGAAATTGATAACTGCTGCGTCGGCT